CCAACAACCTGAGTCTCGTCCAGGGGCTCACATAGTGGGAGGAGAGAACTGACCCCCAAGTGTTATCCTCTGATCTCTGCATATATACCATGGCGTGCGTACCTCTGTCACACATATGAATAAATAGAAAAATGTAATAAAGGTTTGAATTTAGGACAGCCACAGGTTATTTTTCCCTTTGATATAGAATGACCTAAGTTTTCAGGTAGCTTTCTTTTTCTCTCATGGGAGAAAATGGGCAGAAGGAAACTATGGTGCTTCGTTTTCTGCCAAGCTTTGTATGTCAGCTGGGAGTGATGCCAGGGCCTCTCAACAAGGGCAAGAGCTATAGCCGAGAGCTGACATCTTCCTTAGCATAGCAAAAACCGATGACTGAGAGACATTTAGAGGATTGACACTGTCTGCATGAAGTACAACCCTCTGAGTGAGCAGGGTCACTGCTACTGTGGTGCCCTGAAGACCTGCCAGTATTAAGTCTTTGGAATAAAATGACTTTCAATATGTGAGTTTTTACATGTGTCTAGCCTGCAGCTCAGGGCCTCATGTGATTAAAGACAGCTACGAAACAGAAAATTGTAAACTCAGGTAAAACATTTGAGTTTTTTCTTTGTCACTCAGTCATGCAGTTTAAGAATGGACTTACTAAACGGCAAAATCATTTTGTAGTATGAAAGACTGAACGTATATGACAATGTCCCAGGATGCCCCAGTGCCAACTTAAGGACTTCAGAGAACTTACTCCTCATTTAGAGAAGATACAGAGTCACGTCTTTTGTTCTTTTTCATTTAAAGCCCCTGTCACTGAGCTCCCCCAATCCTCCAGTGTTAAAGTTATGATTTGTTTGTGTGATAGTGAAAGCCATGGAAGAGATTGTTCACTTGAGAGAAGAATTCTTTGTGGTGTGAGGGGCATCTAGAAAAGGTGCCCTTGTGGGCCGTGGAGTTCATGTGGAAGCTGAGTGAGAGGAGAGCTGAGAGCTAGTGTGAACTGAACAGGCTATGAGAAGGCCTCAGGGGGAGTTTGCTTATAGAGTCTGGTAGTAGATGGTAGCTTGGCTGTGTTGGAGGCTTAGAGTTTCAGTTTCTCAGGACTTAGCTCTCAGGGCTGCCATTGCACTGCTGCTCACTCATGGTTTGATAGTGCCTGCCAGTTACAGGTAGATCCCATGTGGTGTTGATTTTAAAGAGGGGCAGAAGCGTTCAGCACACTCTCAGAATCAAGACACATCCTCAGAGCCAAGGGAAGAAGGGAGAGCAGTACTGGCCGTTCCTGTGCAGTGATTCCAAAACTGGCTAGACTGGCAGCTTTGTGAGATGTGGCTGTCAGGCAGTAGAAGTGTGACCAGTGTAGATGGAAATTGCTTTAAACTTATTTTAAATTTAACTAAATGTGGCCAGTGCCTATCATATGAACATCCAAGGCTGGGCTTTTAGAATGGCTAGCCTAAAGAATGAAGTAGAAAGCTGGTTTTTGGTATTTCGGATACCCAAGAAAAAGCCGAGGAAAGGTGAAACATTGACTAGAAAGAACTCTAGTGTATAGTTGAAGGCAGATCTCTTGGCCATTTTGGTTTTTTATTTCTCTTATATTTGATCTTACCTTAAAGTATACAGTGATAAAAATGGACTGGTAGAATTTTTTTTTTTTTTGAGAGTAAAATGAGCTCAGAGTGAAATTGAGGATCTGCCTTGGCCATTTTTCTAATTGGTTTTCAGCCTTTAGAAATGTGTACAGCAGCCATTTGCTGCAGCAGAGAAACCCCAGGAAGGCTGTCCCATGCAGAAGCTGGACGGAGTGGTGACTTCAAAAGCCGCACCAGTTAGAGAGCGCAGCTGAGGGAGGGCGATGACTCACACTTGTGACTGTAGTCTAAGAGGAGGCAGAGGCTGGCAGATTGCTGCAGGTTCAACCTGGTCTGCACTGTGGAGTTCCAGGCCAGCTAGAGGTACATAGCAAGACCTGTCTCAAGCAAAACCATGCATATACACAAAGTACACATGTAACTATAGGTATATTTACATATGTATACATTGTTACATACTATATATGTGTAATAGCTACACACATGCATATTTATGTATGTATTTATGTATTTGTGTATCTGAGAAAAAAAAGAAAATGCTGTTAGCTCTCCATTCATTTTATTGAAAAGACTGTGCCTTCAGGTAAGACTACACCACCTCTCTCATGGGCTGTCTCCAGACCTCTACTAACTTCCTCTCTATGGCCCAGATGCGGTGTCACCCCCAGAGTGACATTGCAAACACAGATCTGATCCTCATCTTTGTTTATGAACTTGGTACTCAAATAAGCATACAATAAAACAACCCAAGAACATTTCTACTTTTGAAATGAGTGTGTTACGTGGATATTTCTCAGGGGATAAAAATGGGCATCTTTGTTTTCTGTAGCAGTATGTAACTCTTTTAAGGCTAATTATAGTCAAAACCCCAGGAATTCATCTTGCAGCAGAAACTATGCCAGATCTTATGGCCTGTGCCACAGGTCTCTTGCTATAAGGATGTTCGTGCCAGCATTACTCAGGAGTGAAGTGCACACCCTGCATGTAGCTGGAACAGTGAGGTAGATGATGGCTGCTAACCCTCTCGTCTCAGCCACCGTGTGCGCCTGCCAGTGTGAGGCAAATGGTGTATTTAGCTGCATGTATGTCTGCCTTCTTAGTAGTAGTTTAAAAATGATACTGTATTGAGTTGCATGCAAGATCCTGTAGTTACCTTACAATAAAAACACAGGTTATATTTAAATGTTATCTGTTGTAGAAAGTACTTTTTTTTTAAGTATTTATTTATTATGTATACAATATTCTGACTGCAGGCCAGAAGAGGGCACCAGACCTCATTGCAGATGGTTGTGAGCCACCATGTGGTTGCTGGGAATTGAACTCAGGACCTTTGGAAGAGCAGGCAATGTTCTTAACCTCTGAGCCATCTCTCCAGCCCCAGAAAGTACTTTTGTAAACAAAGTAAAAGTTTTAAAAATTTAAAGGTGAGTTAGGTTTATTAATGTATTAACTCATAATTTTTATAAATACATTATAACCGCAGGACCTCATGCTGTCTCCAGAAACCCCTTAGATACTTCCATGTAAGGGTATGCGTATTTTTTTGTACCCTCTTTCTCTGAATTTTGTGTATTTTCTTATTTTACAGTGTTCATTTATCACCATACTTACATTTTTTTTTCTCTTCAAACTTGGTTTTCTCCCTCATGTCAGCTTCTTAGGTGCTTTTTTTTTTTTATTGGAAATGGCTAGTTATCCAGGAAGTTACTTTCCCCATTATAGTTCATGAAGGTCTACAGACAGTGGGCTGCATCAGGTTTTGTGTTTCATTTTGTTTTGTGTTTCTACAGACAAGATGGCTATATAACCTAGGCTAGTCTCAAACAGATGTCACTACCACAATGTCTTGACATTTTATCCATCATCATTTGCAGAGGGGAGCTAGGGGAACATAGATCTTCTATTTTGTATTCTGTTTTTTTTTTTTTTTTTTTTTTTTTTTTGACAAATTAGATTATAGTCAGTGTAGACAGAAATACCAGTATGAGAAATTCTGAGTTAATCCAGTTCATGTGCCATCCTCCATGTCCTTGAGCAGTCGCCTGGGAATTACGGCTTGCTTTGTGATCTAGACGTGTCACTTGTTTGGAAACTTAAGCAGCTTACAGTTGTCATGTGACGTATACATTTTGCTAGAACACTGACAGTTGATGGAGAGTGTGTGCAACGCTCAGAAGGGTTGGGCCTAAGTCTGTTTTCTTACTCCTCTCCTCGGCCTATCACAATATCCAATTAGGCTCTCAAAGAAATCACTGTTGAATACCCAACTGCCTACTTTTGCCAATTTGTTTTAAAACTGCTTCTTAATGAAGTAAGGGATTAAAGGATTTAAATAACTATTTGTGTTTGGTAAGCTCTTTTATTTGCAAGGAACAAAAAAGACTAAAGTTACCCCCTAACAAGGGGAGGGAGGAAGGGAGAGAATGAATATAAATGACCTTGTTTAAGCTTTACTTTTTCCAGAAATCCATAGCAACACCACTGGTTTCTCTGTTGATACTCACCCAGGGCTTCCCTTTTCTTTCCTCTTGCATCTGTATTTGAGTGACATTTTGTTTCTCCTGGATCTCTGATTGCATTATGTTCTTGTAACTCTACAGTATAGTCCTGAGAAGTTGTTAATGTATGCTAATTAGCCTTACTTGGGCTTGGACAGAGCGCTTATACCCAGGTATCTACCCATGGACTACCAGTCAGTTTCCATTTGTCTGGCTCTTACTGTAGGCTCATTTAGAAGAGGTTCTGTTACTTTCAGGGAAGGAGCCACCTGAGTTACTTTCTTAGCGTCGAGTTTCCTCAGGAGGGTTCGTGGCATTGAAAGCTCAATAAACTTTTCTAGTAGGCACAAGGCCTGTATTCTTTATTATTCCTGCTCAGTCTTTGCAACCTTTATGCTGTCACCCATAGTTTTATGTGGTGACTTCAGAGGGCTGGTTCTTAACTCAGAGTGTTACCTTTATCATAGACAATCACATAGCCATTTCCCCACGTCTTGTAGATAAGGAATTCAAGAGACCTCTTTGTTCTCTGCACCCAGGCTTGCTCGTGGAGAAGGGAGCAAACTCATTAGAATCTTCATGATAAATCATAAAGAGACTTAAGTGGGACAAAAATAGTAATATTCCTCAGCAATATCGTACTGTAGCACTGTAAGGACAGGTATGAATTTATTGTAATTGTAAAATGGTCTCTGATGACTGAGTCTCCCCCAGCACTGTGATAGAAGTCTGTCCTTTTATCTCACATCTGCACAACCAGTGCTGCCCTGGATTTTCTTTGACCTGACCCCAAACTTCTTCGGGGTTATGTAATTCTGTTGACTTACTCACTTATTGTAGTGCATTGGCTGTCATTGTCTACCAATCAAATTTTCTGGGAAAGTTATCATAACACATTGAACATTTCTTTTACAAACAGGATAAAAGAATCAGAGTGTCTCAACCCCTAACAAGAGGACCAAGTGCCTTTATTCCAGAGAAGGAAGTAAGTTCTTTTGTGTTTAATACATTATTTTGTCTGAAACTCACTAAAACTGCATCCATATTTTCATGCAAAAGTAGATGTGTTTTGCTCTTTAATGTGTTATTCATGTCAGAAAAATGTGGGGTTTTTTTAGATTCACTAAGAAAATCTTTAAGTTTTCATGTTTAAAGAGACCAGCATTTCACAGTACTTTTATCATGTAATTGGGATAGAAAGATACTTTAAAATGAAATCTACCTTTAAAAGACAGACAATGACTTCATTACTGGTAGTTACTCTTTTTTTTTTCCTGATTTATAAGATTGATTGACAGGATGCCACAAATACTCTAACAACTGTGTATCTTTGGTAGGGTTTGGTGACAAGATGGTAAGTGCAAGGCAGAGAGATTAACAGTGGTACAGAGTAAGGTTTGCACCTGTTTTGTTGGTAGGCATCTTTGTGGATGATGACAGTGAGGTCGGGGTCTTGGTGATGCCTCTTGGCTGTCATCAGGCTGAGAACCACTTAAGGACTTACTTGTCTGCTTGTGGGTGCCCAGTGCACATGGATGCAGTCCTCTCCTCGCTGCTGTTCCCTGGTGTGCACAGCTGTCTTTGTCTGTGGATGTCTAGGGTGGTGCCTGCACTTCACTTGCTGTTCCTGCTTCAGTGACCTCATTGAGTCAAAAAGTAAAGTCACCATGCTGCATCTCTAGCTCTGGGGGGCAGCTTCTGTACAAAAAGCGCTCCTGTGCATGTGCCTGCGTGCACAGCCCAGGGCTGCACTGTGAGATGGTGGCCTGGTGCATGTGCACTACCTCCCGGAGCATCCTTAGGATGTGGAGCAGCTTATGAATCTAGTGATATCTTGTAAACACCCTGTGAGAACTCAGAAACTTATAGAGAAAGCAAATCAAAAATAGGATATTCTAGCCCTATTTATATTTGGGCTAGGAGGCTATTATTTCTTAACTATTAGCTCAGTCCCTCTAGTTGACCCAACAGGGAAACAGCAAATGAGAGTACCCGGGGTTCCATAATGAGATGAGAAGTTGCCTTTTGTATTTATGCCAGTGTAACTAGCATTTCTTCACAGCTTCACTTTTAGATATACTCCATTTAAGTATTTCTCTACAAACACTTCCTTTGTATAATGTGCACTCCCCCAGGGGTAAAAGGAACTGTGAAGCCAGCTCTGAAGAGAGCAGTGAGTCTTTAAGTGCCATCACTTTGGACTTCACAGACCTAGTCAAACCCTTTGCTATGAACTAGATGTACAACATTGAGTTACATCCAGAATCTGCTTCCTTATCTCTAAAACTGAGAAGCATGCTCATCTTACATCTAAAAGTATAGCTCAAAAATACAAATGGGAACTTAGCCAGTGGTGGGGTCACCTTGGTGTCCATCCAGTCTCACAGAGCTGCATCTTTTCACAAGATTAGCAAGCTCTTCACACTGCCACACCCAATTGGGTGTGTGACACCAACCTGGCATGGAGTATATGGCTGTATATTATCATCTATTTTGTGAAAGTTCTTTGGTCCCGCGATGGAGGACGTAAGTTCTATTTTCATGCCTTGTTTTTAGTAATTACTACATTAGGCTTAGACTAGCAATGATGGAATCTAGTGTCCGTATTAATTTTCAACTAATATTTTTCCACAAGTCATTATATGTTCCTGTATCTCTAAAAAAGATTTCATAAAGATGTTAAAAATGTTGACCAGCAAAAACAACAAAGGATCAGATATTTGTCCAAAATAATGCAAGTAATTTTCTTTGTCAGTTGATGAGAGTAGGCTGCAAATACATGTGACCAAATGCTCCTGGATTTGCCTTGCTACATTTGTGTGACAATGGCCAGGCAATGGGCTCTGGAGTCTGTCTGCTTGCCTGCAAAGACAGATGGAGGCTTCTTCCCTCAGCTTTATAGCTGTGTGTTTAATGTTTGATAACTTACCATTTGTTGTTTAATAAATTGTGGCACCAAAGCCAAAACTGAATGGTGCTTTCTCTTTTTAAATTTCTGTTTCTAGTATGAGCAGCTGCATAATTTCAGGGTCTGTTAGCATCAAATGAATATGTATTTCCCCAGCAGAGGCAGGGTCTGCAGAAAGCAAAGCTCTCTCCATCACAGTAGTCACTGCAGTCTCTGCTTGTTAATAGGTTGTCCAAGCAAACACGGTGGATGAACGGACAAACTTTCTCGTGGAAGAGTACTCTACGTCTGGTCGCCTGGACAACATCACACAGGTGATGAGCTTGCACACTCAGTACCTGGAATCTTTCCTGCGGAGCCAGTTCTACATGCTGCGCATGGATGGCCCCCTTCCCCTTCCAGACAGGCACTACATTGCCATCATGGTAGGTGCTTACTTCCCGCTACTCCCTACTGCCATTAACTAGGTTCCACATATTCAGTGTCCCTTCTAAGGTATGTGTTTGGGGGAGAGGTGTGAGTGAGTGTGTCTGTTAAGAGACTGAATGTGAATGTGTGGAATGTGTGTGTGCGCACGTGTGAATGTTTGGGGGTGTGTAGGTTAATGTGTATATGAGTGTGTGTTGAGAGACTGTATGTATGTATGGGATGTGTGTGTGATTGTATACATATATGGTTGTGTGTGTGTGTGTATCCGTTGAAGGGTGTGCATATATGTATGTTTGTATGTGCATGTGTGTGAAGCTGAGTATAGTTACATGGGGCATAACTGAAGAAGCCTCTGGCTTTTTGAATACCATATCCCTTGGATACATTCAGAGTTGCTTTAAGTCACTTAATATGTTGAGTGTTTCTTGCTTAACCTTCAGTGGAATTACTTTGATGTTTAGTTTCTTGTGATTAAAGATGGATTTTGGGTCCAGTTTTGCTGTTATTCTTGGGGTCTTTTTCTGCATAAGCTGATTGCAGGCATTTTCCTTAGTTATCCTATACATGAAGATGATCGTTGGTGTGGGGTAGGAGAAAAGTTCTAGTTGCCACTAGTGACAGATCTGTATAAGAGAAGACTTACTGAGTGGATCGCAGCACTTCTAAGTAGTCAATGTTATCTGCAAGTCGAGGGCCGGGGCAGGGAGCTGTGGTGGAGGTCCTAGAGCAGTAGGAGAGCAGTGCTCTACCTAGCCAGCCAGTGGGGAAGAGAGTGGGGGCATGAGCCCATGCTGCTGTGCGTGGAAAGACAAAGGCAGCAGCCAGCAGAGCTGCCCTGTCCAGGTGAGCATCACCGAGCTGAACAAAAGCAGCATTCTGTGCTTTCTGACATGAACTTGATGAACTGTGACTTTAATACAAGCTTTCGATGACAGCAAGGCTGAAAGCAGACCGAGAATGCTCACTCTGTAAGACAGAGCTGAGATACAGAGACTGGAAAGAATAAAATAGTTTTTACGAGCAGTGGCCGTCCTTCACATGAGTGTCCCATTGACAGCACTCAGCTAACATTGACTACATAAAGAGAGGATCCATGATGGCCGTGTGTAGGCCGGTCCCTGAGGTCAGATGTGATTGCTTCATTCATCCTATGGGAGACGAGGGAAGTTTTCATATAAGCCAGATTCCTGATTAGGATACACATTCGTAGAAGCTCCTGAACTTTAGATGGAGCGTACTGTGTCTTCCCCATAGCAGACTTGCCCCGTGCCTGTGCGTTTCCTGAAAATAGCTAGTGTAGCTAGCTGCTGCTCTGTGTCCACCAAACTCAGGAGGAAGTCGTTGACTTCATGTGACAAGTATTTGCTTTGAAAACTGCATATCCGCCTCATGTATCAATTCAAGAATCTGCAACAATAGTGTGGTAAACAGTTCTGAGGGAAGATTTTGTGAGAAAAGAGCTACTGAGTAAAAACTGTATTGGCTCCATCTGAATTACTCACTGTGGAAAGACCTGCTCACAACTGTTCTCAGGAAGCTTGTTTCTGTGCTTTAGGCTGCAGCCAGACACCAGTGTTCCTACCTGATAAACATGCATGTGGATGAATTTTTAAAGACTGGAGGGATTGCTGAGTGGCTGAATGGCTTAGAATATGTACCACAACGACTGAGAAATCTTAATGAAATTAACAAGTTGCTGGCACACCGGCCCTGGCTGATCACGAAAGAGCACATTCAGGTATTGGGTGTTTCTATACAGGTTCTGAGTTATGCTTGAAGTTTGAGAGTTTATTCATAGCCTCTTTTTCATTATACATGTGTGTATGTATAAGGACTTAATTCTAAACACCTATATATTAATAACTTGAGAAAAAAGAGATGCTGTATTATATACACTTATAGAAAAGAATCAGAAATTCAGTGGGTTTCATTTAAGTGCAAATGAAAATTGATCCTCCATAAGCATTGCTCATTGGCCTGAACTTGTGCTTCGGTGTCTGACTGAGAAAAGTTGGCTTCCATTGTCCAGGAGATAATAGATCCAAATCCACTAGTGTCAAGGATATCCTGCTTCTGACTGTATTGTCAGTGATATGTGCCTTTAGTTAATAAATTCCATAAAGTTGGGAGATCTCTGAATTCTAAATCCTTCAGTAGTTTTAACATTTCATAATTAAGACCCATAAAGAAATGGTTTTTATAAATCTAAAGTGACTTCCAGCTGGTGTGGGAATTACTGGCCAGATAAGAAATAGACATCTCCATCCCAGACACAGTGCTGTCCAGCAGAGTTCAGTGCAGGAGAAGCCTTACCTTCGTCTCAGACACTTGCTTACAAATACACATGTAATGTGCTAATACATAGAAATGCCTTTTAAACCACGGTTTTTAAAGTGAGCACTCTGTTTCTATTATTTAATATTAGATTTTGGCAACTTTTGAACTCTGTGGAGCATAGCACGGTTCTAGGTCTGCTCTGATCTCATAGTGTGTTAGTACATCAGAGAACTGATAGGATGGAGATTAGATAGGGAGGACATAGAGACAGTCGAGGTGAAGGACTAAAGAAAGAGCACTGGGCACAGGCAGGACAACCAACATTTCAAAGACAAGTGGACGGTGAGGACCACTTCAAGGCTTGACAGGAGCTGGAGCATAAAGAAGCTATTCATTGTAGCAGGTAACTGAAGAAAAAACAAAAGAATAACCTGACATCAGTTCAGAAATGAAATCCTTAGGTGCATTACATTGTACCTGTGTTTTAAAAATAGTGTAACAGTGTAGCTTCGGGAAAAATGAACATGTCAAAATGTCAGATTTGAAAAGCAGAAAAATATATGTCTAAGGCTGTGGTCATATAAAGATGATTTTTTTTTAATAGAGAAAAGAACAGCATTACCTGTTTGAATGAATATTGAACTGATGGAAAGGAGTCTCTGGGAAGTATTGGTGAAATTCACCCTTGGGAGTTAATCCTGCAAAAAGCAACCTAGGAGAGAAAAGATTTATTGTAAATTACAATTCCAAGTTGCAGTCCATTAATCACTGCAGGGAAGTGAAGACAGGAGCTTGAAGCAGCATGCAATCTACATGTCAGGAACAGAGAGAGAATGCATGCATGCATTTGAACTGCTCAGCTAGCTTTCCTCTACTTTTATCCACTTCGGGACCTGGTCCACTTTTAGAGTGGGCCTTCAAGAAATGTAATCAGGAAAATTACTCAGTGTTAGTGACTGGCTTGTAGTTGTCTGCAGACACAATCAGGTTGGTAGCCAATATTGGACATTACTTGGTATTGTTGTTTTTAATGGGTTTAATTGTGGCTGTAAATAGAGGCCAAATGAACTAGCATATGAACAAATGTACTGACATGTCATACGTTCTTACTTCAATGAACAGTCACTTTCTGTCCTGTGGAATGGGGAGGTGGACGTCTCTACCAAATGCTGTCTAGAGGGAAATCAACAGCTATCCTGTTCAACCGGATCTTCACATGACTTAGGGACAGAGTATCTAAAATGCCTGAAAATGAATGGCTTTGGTAGAAAATGTCAAAGTCCCTTCCAGCTTTAATGTTTCTTGATTATCTTAACATCTTATTAATGTTTTTAAAGTGCTGCAGTACAGTATTTATTATAGGTGATGCCACCACCTGTTGCGAGGCTTTGGTAGTTCGCACATGACATCGTGTGACCAGAGGCCTATCTAATGTGAGACATTCTAAAAAGAGCTTTAGTTAACATGACTACAGTGAGCATAAGACTGTCGCTTCCTCTGGTTTTCATGTTGACTCACATTCTCCTTTCAGAAACTTGTCAAAACTGGAGAAAACAATTGGTCCCTGCCTGAGCTAGTGCACGCTGTGGTCCTCCTGGCTCACTATCATGCTCTGGCCAGCTTTGTTTTTGGTAGTGGCATCAACCCAGAGAGAGAACCGGGAATCTCCAACAATTTCAGACTAATCTCAGTGAACAGCTTCTGCGTGTGTGATCTGGCTAATGACAATAGCATCGAGAACGCATCCCTGGCAGGCAACAACTTTGGGGTTTGTACTCAACTGCTTCTTTGTAGCTGGAACCTGCTTGTTCATTTCCTGGACACCCAGACCTGAGTAATCACACAGAAACTATATTTGTTACAACACTGGCATATTACCTCAGGCTTCTCATTAACTAACTCCTACATGTTAAATGAACCCATTTCTATTAATCTGTATATCTCTACAAAGCTGTGGCTTTTTGGAAAGTTTCTGGCAGCAACATCTTTCTCCTTCAGCAGCTACATGACTTCTCCCTAACTCTGCCCACTTCCCTCCACATCTCTGATCCTCCCACCTAGCTCCAATCTGCCCTGCTATAGGCCGAAGCAGTCTCCCCATCAACCAGGGGCAGAGGAGTCCCACATCACTTCTCTTGGAACCTTCTTGCTGATATTATCCAGAGAGAGTTCACTGTGACCAGAGAGATTATTACCTACTTGAAAGATGCTGTTAGCATTGTAAAAGTTTCATCAGTACCTAAAGTTTTGACTAGTATTTTTAACTTTAAGTCTTTATTATATAATACCTTTGCCCACCCACACCTGAACTTTTAAGCTGTTATTACTCTGAAGACACTGTAACCAAGAAGACTCTAAGCTTTCTTCTTTAAACATATACCCTTGTTTACAGAGTTCAACTTTCAGTAAAAAAACAATACTGAAATTTATCATTAAACTATTTTTCTCTTCTTAAATGTCCTTCTGAATGTCTTCACTGCCCAGGTGACTTCTTGGCCTCAATTTCTTGCTATATATGATGTCTGTACCCTTCTTTGGATTTCCTACACCTTTCTTGGCACCTTAAGGAAAGTGATGTTGTTAGAATAACAAAAACTGAGCATTGATACAGTCAGTATCACAGGCCTTTAAAGTCAGACCCATGCACAGCATCTGTCTGTAAGATGCTGGAAAACAAACGAAAATAGATCTTAGAAGGCAGAAAGGAGAAATTTTGAGACTGCATATACCAAACCCTAGAATTCTGTATTTCAATTTCACACCTATAATTTTTTATATTTATAACTAAAGCAGATTCATACATCTGAAAATATTTGAGTATGTCATATAATTGCTGTGGAGTTAGTGAAAAACTCAAGTTCTTTTTTAAATAGCTTCAATGAAATGTCAATTACATATCACCCAATTTCCCCATTTAAAGGGTACAACCAAATAGTTGTAAGGATCATCACAGAATTTGGCAACAATAAATTTTAGGATGTTACTGCAGTATATAAAGCAACTCTGTAGCCAGTAGCATCACACACACACATCCTCTTCTCCCAGGCGTAGCCCATGGCAGTCACTCATCTGCCTTCTATCTCTATATACTTGCCTACCCTAGCCATATTTAAAATATTCCTGTCAATTAAAAGTTCATATCATTTGGCTAGCATCTCTGCTGTGGCCTAAATAAGTGTCCTATGTGCATGCTGTAGTAGAGTTGGAGAAGGAGGGGCTTCCTGGAGCAGTTTGTAGTGCCATAGCACCAACACTGTCTTGTTCTTCCAGATTGTCGACTCACTGGGTGAGCTAGAAGCCTTAATGGAAAGGATGAAAAGGCTTCAGGAAGACAGGGAAGATGGAGAGACGACTCAGGAAGAAATGACCACGCGTTTTGAGAAAGAAACGAAAGAAAGTGTCTTTGTGGTCCCTGGAGAGACTTTCCATTCATTTCCTCACTCAGGTGTGTTCTTGCTCTTGGCTAGTTGTTCAGAGACTATTAGCCACCAGCCTTTAGTATTTTCCATACAACTACATAAGGAGGAGTCACTCCACGAACGCCTGCTTCAGCAACAGTGGGGTGCATTCTGAGAAACCTGCAGTTATGCAGACACTGTGGAGTGCACTTTCACACACTTAGATGGTACTCCTTTTAAACATGAAGAGTGCACAGCTATTGCCAGCAGAACATGGCATGATATTTCAACAGTACATGTTTGATAAGTGAAAGGGGTGTGTTCAACAATAACGTGAGAAGCACAGATAGCAAATACATAAATCTGTGGCTCTATTTTGTGTTATATCATGGTATCTGCTGTGTAACTGGCATTGTCACCTCAAGTGTGAAATGCCTGAGACTGCAGTGTGTTAGCTGGAGTGTCATAGGCCATAGGAATTTTCTAGATCTAGCATCTTCTGGAGGAACCACCTTCATATATACATTCAGTCTTTGACTAAATAAAGTGTTGTTACACAGCACATGGCTATCACTAATCCTGACAGATATGTGGGGCTATTGTCCTGATTCTGTCCTGGATATATTCAAAGCAGGTCAGTTGCTAAGATCAGCAGTACTTGCCACCAAACCCGACAGTCTGAGTTTGACTCTGAGACCTCATGGTGAAAGACTGGAACTTACTCCTACAGGCTCCTCTAACCTCCACACATCCTCAATGGCCTGCATACACCTACACACATACACAGTGATATAAGTACATGTAAAACTGAATTTTTCTTATACTCTTAAGGAATTTTGGAATAGTAAAGCAACTTTCCAGTTGCATCTTTAAAGGTATAGAGCAGTGCATAGTAAAACTATGACCTCAGCAGCATAGACGATAGACACAAATGGGAGCCCTCACAGGTGTCGTCTAAGCTCTGAGAAGTGTGCTGCTGTGACGTGTTGTGTTTTCCCCATATGTATATATGTTTGTCACATGTGTGCCTGGTGCCCATGGAGGTCACTGATCCCCTGGAACTGGAGTAGTGAGTGGTTGTGACCCACATGCAGTGCTGGCGTTCAAACCAAGCTCCTCCTCAAGAGTAGCCAGTGTTCTTAAATGAGAGCCACCTTTCAGTCCCCTGATCCTGTCCACCCTCAGCGATGCCCGCAGACCAAACACCTTTGCACAGCACACAAGAGCAGAGAAGAGACCAGGAGGGAGCCTTAAGCTTGAGCACAGGGTGTGACATAATCAGTGTCTCCCAGGGAGCTTGAGTCAGAAACTAAGAAATGAATTGGGTGCACTGCAGTTAACTAAATTCCAGACATTAACAAAGAAATGAAAAATGCAGAGAAAAGAAGTGGGGGGGGGGGGAAAGGAGAGTAATGCAGTGGGTGTGCTAATACTGCAGCGGGGGGACCGTTGACGGTGTGCTAATACTGCAGCGGGGGATGTTCCTGGTGTGCTAATACTGCAGCGAGGGGATGTTTCTGGTGTGCTAATACTGCAGCGGGGGGATGTTCCTGGTGTGCTAATACTGCAGTGGGGGGATGTTCCTGGTGTGCTAATACTGCAGCGGGGGAACATTGACAGTGTGCTAATACTGCAGTGGAGAGCCTTGCTGGTGTGTTAATGCTGCAGTGGGGAGCCTGCTGGTCTGTTATAATGCTGCAGCGGGAGAATGTTTATAGTGTGTTAATACTGCAGTAGGGAACCTTGCTGGTAGAGCACTGTTTGAAAAGACAGACAGTGCTATTAGAGTTAATATCTATGTACTCTAATATTTCTATTTCTTTATGATCACCGGAGCTTGTAAGATATAAATACTTCTTTATGTTGTTTTGAAATAATAGAAATATCTTTTAGGTTGCAAGTAGACTTCTTCTCCTTTTTTTTTTTTTTTTTTTTCTATTCAAGACAGCCTTTCTCTGTATGGCCCTGAATTCACTCTACAGACCAAGCTAACCTTGAACTCAGAAACCTGCATTTGGAGTGCTGGGGTTAAAGGTGTATGCCACCACACCTGGCTCCAAGTAGACTTCTTGAACACTTACACAGACTACTTGAAAATAATTTTTAACTAAAAAATCTTGAACCTATTAGCATTTTTAACTAAAATAAAAGCAAAACAAACAAACAAAAAACCCAAGAAAATTATGTGTGTGTATGTGTGTATATAAAATGCTGTTTCCTTTTAGAACACACTTAAATATTTGTTTAGATAAAATCTGAAATAATTTCAGGCTGTTGATCACTAGAGTAGTGTTTTTAATCTTTCAAGGTAAATCTAGAAAGAATAGTGTCAGTCAGTTTTTTTTTGACTCTTACACATACAAAAATGGTCAGTCCAGCTAGTGCAGAGCTGCTGGATTAGGCATCAGCCTGTGATTGGCTGGACCATTAGACATCAGCCTGTGATTGCCTGGCTTATTAAACATCAGCCTGTGATTGCCTGGCTTATTAGACATCAGCCTGTGATTGGATGGACTATTAGACATCAGCCTATGATTGGCTGACCTATTAGACATCAGCCTGTGATTGCCTGGCCTATTAGACATCAGCCTGTGAATGGATGGACTATTAGACATCAGCCTATGATTGGCTGACCTATTAGACATCAGCCTGTGATTGGATGGGCTATTAGACATCAGCCTGTGATTGGCTGGCCCCATTGCTTTGGATCTGTGGTAACACAAATCCAGGAAGACACCAAGGTCCTACAGTCACTTTTGAGGGAACCCTAACCACATAAACACCTCACAGGAGGCTCCACCTCCTTCAGGTCCAGCCTGTCCCATGTGGACATTGGAAGAACACTTAAGACCTAAGTGGAGTAAACTGTAAACAGTCAAGGTACCTTCGTACATCCTTTTATATGGACAGATTGCTTAGAAAACAGCTCTTGTCTGCTGCTAATTCTAAGTTATAAGGTTTTTCCTGAGGCCCACTTTGATATGGTTAGTTACTATTTTGAAATTAGAATGTTTAAAATTATAATTTAAAATTAGAATGTTTAAAATGAGCAAAACAATAACTAGTATCAAAGACAAAGGGAGTCCTGTGACAGACAAGTCCAGTGTTAGCCTTTGCAAATGAATCCAGTGGCCCAGGGGCAGAGAAGCTGACAGTTCAGTGCCACAGATATTCTTGGTTGGATTTTGTCATTTGTTTATGGTGTGATGGGTGGATGAAAGAAAAGCATGATTTCTTTGAGTCAAGAGCTGGTGCTTTGAAAACCTTTGCTGTACTAACATTCTTTGAATGGAGCCTGGACTGTAGGCGAATCAGAGGTTATGAGTTCATATTACAAATAAAGGTCATCATACAGGGTTTTCATCGTAGAGGAAAACTACTTAAAAGCTTTAGATGGCACTGGGACAGAGCTCCTGGGTGGAGTATTTGCCCCACCCCTACCCCGTATACACAAGGCCTAGCACTAGAGAAAGTGGAAAAAGAAGAAAAGATAAGAAAGGAAAGCTGCAGATCAGAACTGACTAATAGTTATTTCTTAAGTGGATTTTTCTTTTTAATATAACGAATTAAGGAAAACTGTGGCTGCTGGGGTTGTGGCATCACCTGCCATGCAGGAAGTGCTCAGCAGGTGTCAGTTTCCTCTTGGTCTGAGTAAGGGTGAGAATTCAGTGCCATGTGTTCAACGTTATGTAGTCTGGGAATCTGATCTTCTGTGCTGTTCTCATGCATCCTAAGATGAGCCAATGGCCCCAACTTAAAGATAAAAAGGAGACTTTTTCTTATTAGAATTTTTATGTATAGTCTTCAGAAGAATTGTATGATTGTTTCTCAAACTGCTAAAAATTTATCCAGATGAGAACTAGTTTTTTATTAAAGACCAAACTAATTTAACATAAATTACTTACAAAGAACTTAATCATCACATAGAAACTACTTTTTTATTTTGAGAACGATGTGTTCATTTATGGAATAAAGAAAAAAGTTTGTTTATTCACTATTAAATAGTTGAAATCATGAAGAGGGTGGAGTAATTACAAAGACACTAATCTAAAACACAGTGAGTTGGAAGAAAATTGTTTTCAGCTTAAAATAATATGCACTAAGCATTTATAGTTTCTCAGTAGTGCGTTTTCACCAGTGAGCATGCTGAACCTATTGTAGATAGTAATGTTGCCTCCCTGGTGTCCCTGCGCTCTGGGACATGGCCCTGATCACAGCTTCAGCACCATGGGAGTGTTCTGCTCCCATGTGCATGCTCAGGCTTGGGAAAGGGTATTCACCAACTGCACAGAGAGGCTAGCCAGACACCCAGAGGCCCCTTCTCTTGGGATTCCATGCCTCATGTCTTGACTGGCTTGCCTCCTGGAAGGTAACAGCGAACTAGAGTGAAGGGATTTTTGCTCTTAAATATAATCAGATATAATTTTCAAGATCTGTCTTCAAACTCAGTCATTGTTTCTCTTGTCTCTTCTCTTTCCCCATATCCCATGTTATCCCCTTGAAGAGATCAAACAAGCTTTAAATCTTAGATTCATAAGCCTTATCTTTTATTTCTAAATTAGTAAATATGACATAGTGATCTTTTGCTGTAGTTGCTTAAATATTTCAATTTAGTTGGTTTTCTTCCTGCATACTATAATTAAATCTTATCACCCAATATTTGGTAAGGAAATTGTACTTAGAACTTCACTAACCAGTATTTTATGTGCTATATGCCAAGTAGTCAACACTGTCACTTTTGAAAACCTAAAAAATGGAGGGAACTGGGGTTCAGGCTCATTATCTTAGCTGTGTACGTATCCTGAATGCTGTTATTGCCCCTTAGATTTCGAAGATGACATGATCATAACAGCTGATGTTTCGCGATACATTGAAGACCCAGGTTTTGGGTATGAGGACTTCGCCAGGCGAGGAGAAGAGCATTTGCCAACATTCCGAGCCCAGGTACACAGAGCTTTTAACGTAGAGATCCTAGAGAGTTCTGCCCTTCCAAGGGGTAACTGTTGAAATGTAAGTAATGCATTTTCTAAAGTAGCCAATAGGCCTTTTGATAGGATCGTCCACCCAGTCTATCTGATGTTCCCAAAGGAAGGTAATTATTTCAACATATTTGCCTTAGGAAGTCACTAGGAAACAGTTTGCTTAGTTTAGTTGCCTGCGTTATGCAGGATAGTTACATATCTGTGTGTCATTCTTGGAGGGGCAAGGAAGAAATCAAACAATTGATGACATTTATAATAAGGCATTTTGAAATTTGACCACACCAGTCCTCCCACAGTACAATGGGACTCTGTGGGGATAGGAGATAAATTCAGACTCCATTATGCCTGAGTAAATTTGATGGCATAGCAATAGCCAAGAACTTCTGGGTCCTTTCAGAGTGCCTGTCCAGAGGAGGTGGCCAGAGTTCATCACAAACATGCCAAGCCCTAGACCCTGTGAGACAATACCCTGTCTCTGCGCTCCACAGCCTGACCGGAAGCATGCTTGGTAAAGCTGCCATCCTAGAACTCAGTCAGAAATACCCCACGCTAGCTTTCTTCAGTAGTTTTATTCATTTTAAAAATTAACAGAGAATGCCCATTTTGTAAGTGGACACTTTTTCTGCATCCAGGACTACACCTGGGAAAATCACGGCTTCTCGCTGGTGAACAGGCTTTACTCTGACATTGGGCACCTCCTGGATGAGAAGTTCCGAATGGTCTACAATCTCACCTACAACACAATGGCCACTCATGAGGATGTGGACACAACCACGCTACGCAGAGCATTGTTCAACTATGTTCACTGTATGTTTGGAATCAGGTATGTTCACTGTGCAGACAGTCTTACACATTTCTGAGTGGAAATTCAAGCATTTGTTTTATTTTTAGCCTGTTTGGGAGTACATCTTTCTGGGGTGTGGAATACTACTTGATTTAAAAATTAATTTCATCTCAGAGATTATTTTCTTCATTTAAAGTGTTTGGAACTTAGCGAGATGACTTGGTTGGTAAAACTTGCCATAAATATGAACATTAAGACCTGGATTCAATCCCCAGCACTTACTTAAATGCCCACTTGGACCCCAGCCCTCGGAAGGTGGGGACAGGTCCTGAGGCCTCACTGATTAGCCAGCCTTGCCTAATTGGCAAGCTCCAGGTCCTAGTAAGAGATCCTGTCTCAAAAACTATGGTGGACAGCATCTGAAGACTAAGGCTTGGCCTCTGGCTTCCACATATGTGCTTCACATGTACATGAACACATGAATAAATTACAGATAAATAAAAAGTGTGTTGTGAATCTTGATAGTGGCGCAAACAGAGCAGTAAGACTATTTACTAAGGCAGGGGAGTAAACAGAATGAGATGCAGGTTTGAGAATCTTCCTGATAGGTCAGTGTGAGGGGAAAAAAGTGTCTATTCAGGTAGCAATAACAAATTCAGGTCTGTATGGTTGCTGTGGCTTGCCTTATGAAGGAATTATAATTAGGGCACTCTGTAATCCCAATGCTGGGCTGCTCCCAAAAGCACCAAGGTGAGGTGGAGGGGTCACAAGTTAATTAACATCCTATAAGCTGAAGAAGTAGCTGGAGAGGATGGTAAGACCTGGAGGGAAGGGGGTGGAGCGGTCTACTCGGGAAAGCACTAGAGCTGGGCTCTGTAGACTTCCTTATGACATAGATTTGCAAAGAGAAGTTAGGCAGTCATGAGCGAGCACATCCCCGCCCCCTGAAAAAAAAGCATTGCAGATTGAAACTGGGATTCAGTTTCAGTTTGTTAAGCAGTCTTTTCTGTAGTTTTAACCAAAACACCACAAAATTCCCAACAAATCAACTAATAAAGAGCACTACCGGGTCAGTATTCCTAACCTGCTCTGCCTGTACAAGGCCTGGCTTTGATCTCCATCCTTGCAAAAGAGAAACTTAAAAAAAAAATGCCCAACCCTGAACATGATCTCTTGCTCACATAACTTTGGATTTTGGACTATTTAGAATTTTAGTTTTAAGACTTTTCTGCTCCATCGGTCTTTAGTGTTGCTTGACTCAGGGTTTCACCCTCTGACTGAGAACACCTGACCAGCTTTTACTGGCTGGCCTTACTCTTGCTCATTCAATACCTTCTACTATTTTCTAACCTGTCTACCCCACTGAAAATTACAGTCCAATACTCCAATGCTGTATATCCATTTTTCTTCCCTTTTTTGCCTCTTTAGTGTTTCAAGACAGGGTTTCTCTCTGTAGTCCTTGAACTCTGATGTCCTTGAACTCACTCTGTAGGCCAGGCTGACCATGAACTCAGAGATCTGCCTGGCTCTGCCTCTGGAGTGCTGGAATTAATTGTGTGCGCCACCACAATCCGGCCCATTTGTTTTTCTATGTAGTTACCACGACCTCAAAACTGTATGTTTGCTTTGTAGTGTTTCCTCTTTACATCTTAATAGAGTTGAAGCTCTGTGACACTAGGGGTGGATGTTTTTCCCTCTTGTTTACTACAGAATCTTAGTAATGAGAAAGAAGGGTGTGTGACAAGCAGACATTCAGTAAATACTCCCTATGACTTACTTAATGGACTTTGCTTATGACATCATTGAATAGCAAGGCCTAAGCAGTGAGCTTGGGTTTCACATCACAGTACTGTCACTCACAGGTATGATGACTATGATTATGGGGAAGTTAACCAGTTACTTGAACGGAGCCTGAAGGTTTACATCAAGACGGTGACCTGCTACCCTGAGAGAACCACAAAGCGCATGTATGACAGCTACTGGCGGCAGTTCACACACTCAGAGAAGGTCAGTGTCATCACCAAGCAGACCTCAAGGACATTATGTTCAGCATGACAGTTTCAATCACGAAACAAGAAGGGTGGTGAATTGAGCTAGCTATTTTTTCATGTTTTATTAATCTAAAATATGTTGACTGTTGACTACATTTTAGATGTGTGCTCTTATCTGGGAAGGTGTATATCTGAGTCAGTGTTCTATTGCTGTGATAACACATGATGGAAAGCATCTTTGGGAAGAAGGTTTATCTTAGCTTTACAGCTCTGAGGTCACACAGGTCAGAGCAGGACCTGCCCAAGGGTGGCACCACCCACAGTGAGCTGGACCATCCCACATCTATTATCAACCAAGATGCCCTACAGACTTACCCACAGGCCAATCCTATGAAGGCATTTTCTCAAGATTCCTTCTTCCCAGAAGAACCTAACTTCTGTCAAGTTGACATAAAAATGTAGCCAACATTTTAGCATCAGCCTTTGAAAGATTGGATCTAAATACCAATAAATCTACCATTCTATTAAAAAAAAAAAACACTAAGAAGCAGTACTGGGCAGAATTGTACTGGAAGGCCAGGCACTGCCATTTAGAAACTCTTAGTAGCCACCAGGTTACTATTCGAACCAAAGATCCTCATTGTAATTTAGTATTTTGCCATTATAGTGAAGGACATGTGAGCCAAATATATTTTTACATAAGAATATATGTGGAGGGAGTAATATGAATTATTATTTAGATTAGAACCTAGTAAGAATTAAGAATCTTTACCAACAGTATAGCATCAGATCTGACTTTAGGTCCTATGCCTTTAAAACATTGAATCTGTCTCCTTTATACTACTGTGTTCAAGCTGAATGTGGAAAACTCATAACGCTCCCCAGTGATCTGTATGGCCTTGGCAAAGTGTGTTATGGCTCCACTTTTAATAATTTTTGAAGTCTTAAGGTTAGTCATATTACTCACTTCATTTTCAGCCTTGATGCGTCCTTATGCTGTTTTTATATTTGCAATAGATTTCCTCCCTTTCTAGAAATCGTATATTGTCATCAGGAGAGTATGCCCAACGTCATGTTTAAGTGATAGGAAGATGTGGAGTAACTCAACTCTAGAGCAGCCATGCTCAGATGATAGGAAGATGAGGAGTAACTCAGCTCTAGAGCAGCCATGCTCAGATGATAGGAAGATGAGGAGTAACTCAGCTCTAGAGCAGCCATGCTCAGATGATAGGAAGATGAGGAGTAACTCAGCTCTAGAGCAGCCATGCTCAGATGATAGGAAGGTGTGGAGTAACTCAGCTCTAGAGCATTTCCTTGTAATCAATTTAGAAAGTGTCGAGGTTTTACATCAGCCTTTCAGCTGAGAGGTTTTCCCCAGAGAGGAGCCCTGAGATTTTCCCAGAGTGTTTGCAAGTGATGGGCATCTGGTGAGATCAGATAGTCACACAAACCAAGGTGAGCTTCAGCTTCACTGTAGGGCTTAAAGTTAAACCTGGAAGTGTATTTTTAACCTTAATTCTTAATTTAAAATTTTAAATGCTAGGAATGTGTTTTTTAATTTTATTTTAAATTTACATTTACTATCCACAAAAGCAAGTTTGAGTGTTCATCATATATATGTGCATACCCAGGCCTGTGTGTGGTATCCGAATACCTCTTCGCATTCTTCTCCTGTGTTGTGTAGTCACTGAGCCAGTGCCGTTTGGTTTCCAGGTCCATGTGAATCTACTGCTGATGGAAGCCCGGATGCAAGCTGAGCTGCTTTACGCTCTGCGTGCCATAACTCGGCACCTGACCTGAAGCCCCACCGGGAAGGCGTCAGCATGTGTCAGGGCCTCTCACACAGGACTCGTATCAGAACTTTTTGTGACGCAGCCTCAGCAGTTATTCAGTTTCCTACTATCAAAGTTTAGCTGTCGAGGTTTATTGTTTCTGTTTTTGTTTTGTTATTGTTGTTAGGGTTTGATTTTGGGGGGGAGTTGTTTGTTTTGTTTGTTTGTTTTTATTTTTTTCTGGCTGTAATGTGCAATGGTGTGTTTTATATTTCTCTATGCTTAACATTGCTAACAGTTGCAAAAGTAACCTGACGAGCACTACTTCACATTGCTTAGAGCTGGATTTGGGATCTGACATAAATCATGACCTGGTTTGTTACGGCTTCCCTCAGTGCTCTGGAGTTCGTGTGTATGTGTATCACTTGTCTACTTAAAGAGCAGAAGGAAAAGTGCTTGCAGTCTGCTATCAACATCTTCTACCGGAAACTGCCCGCGTGTGTCCTCAGTCTGGGAAGGCTTGTGCTATTGATCCAAGCTGCTCCTGGAACACAACTTGTGCCCCAGGAGATGATCAGGCACTGTTCTGTTTTGGTTTATCTGATTTTTTTTTCTTACACTGCTATTGACAATAACGTGAAATGTGATACAGACATTGTCCATAATTTAATGTGAAATTAATTATGATGAATTCTATAGCATGCTACTGAAATGCCAAATTCAGCTACTTTCTTTGTCTTCTACAGCAGAGGCCTCATTTTCCCACATGGCTGTCTGTGTGGCAGTGGACTTAGGCACAGTTCCTTGAGTCCGGCACCGTGGTCCTCTGTCACCTCTAGTAGCCTGCAGTGCTGCTCACAGCTCGCACACAAATCCCAGCACACAACACTGACCAAATGTTTCTTTGCACATGCTCCTTTGCTGAGAGTTAAGGAAGGTTAGTTAATACACCCCTATTTTTCCCTGCTACAGCTTTGGAAACTATTTTACATGATTTTCGTCTTATAATACGTTAAGTAATTTGTTATTCAAAGGAAAAAATGTGTTTCTGTGCTTTAATGTGATTGAGCAACAACAAAACAGTGCAATGTTTTTAAGAAATGAACTCAGCTTCCCCTATCATGTCACTACAGAAGTGTCCTTTAAACAGAGCCATAAAGAAACGACCTTCAGATGTCTTCATTGTGCCAGGTGTTCCCAGTTTCACCTTGCTGAGGTTGAACTGTGAGTTCACTGAGCCAAAGCATTCGTTCATTCCCCCAGAAAAATGTGTTTGGACAACTGGCTACACACACACACACACACACACACACACACACACACACACACACTGTCATAGGGGAGAAAAAAGGCAGCCAAAAAGTCACATTTTTGCATCAGTTTGTGTTGTTTGATTAGACTGTCTTCAGAGAGCACAGCCCTGTGTGTTTCTAGCTTTAATTTGTATTGTGTTCCTGACCAGTGAAGTGCCTAGAGAGCTGCTATAGCACCAGAGGACACAACTGCACGGTTAGCGCCTTCGCTTGGTGAAAGGTGACGTGCATTTTACACATACATGCCAACATAAAACATAGTTGTCTCTAGTGAGTCATCCATGAACTCCCACAGAGCGCTCACTAAGGCTTTCCCTGTTGTGTGGGTGTACTTTTCCTCTTATGACAGAACTGTGGGCCGACGTTCCGTAGGCTATCCTCTGCCTGCTGTCCTTTTCTGGGATGTTAGCTCCTTTACTTAGCGTTCTGTCCTGGGGAGGAGAGCAATGATGGCTGTAGACCTGTAGCATGGGTAGTTCTTCATTTTTAGACTCCAGGATCTTGCTTAACATCCTCCATGTGAGGAAAAAGTCACTTAAGATTTGAAGACAGGGTGGTTCCTTTAGAGATTACTCAGAGAGCTTGTGCCAGGGTTCTGTATTGTGTTTGTTGTGTGGACTGTGTTCATTCCTTCTTTAGATGTGTATGAACCACGAGAACAGGACATAGAGGAATGGCAAACACAGGCAGTGGCATCAATGCCCATGAGCTCTCCCAGCTTCAAGGCTTTCACATTTAGGATAGAGTTTATGATTGCGTTTTTTCGCATGTTAGAAAACAGTTTCACTTCATAGCCTCATTCTTTTGTTCAGATGAACTGAATGACAGGATGAGAATATTTTTCCCGTATTGACTAAGAGGAGGAATTCTCACAGAACCCTGAATAAGCTTTAGACCAAAAGGGAAGAATAGGATTAAGTAAAGTGGCCACTTACTTTTTGCTTTTGGTTTTGTGTTGCCCCAGAAATGTAAGTAGAGATTGGACTGTGGAAATATTAGTGCCTTTAATAGATTTCTTGTCTAGTAAAACTTCCTTTTAGTTCAACAGACCAATCAATAATCAGAAAAATAAGTTGACTTGGAACCGTGAATAAAAACACAGCAATGTATTTATGAGCGTCAGTGAACCAGCCTCAAAAAGTTGGTTTGTGAAGGTGGCCCCACCTCCACGCTACAGCATGCACCCCACATTCCTGGTGAAGATGCTGCAGTGAGAGTGGGCTGTCAACCGCTTTATCTAGCGCAAACTTGAAATTCCGATGCGGTTTTCCAGGGTGGCATTTTTTTCAGAGTATTGAATTTACAATGTAGTAATTTATAGTATGGCTTTTTATACTGAAATGTGATATTTTTCAAAGGAGCTATCTGACTCAATTGGTGTAATAACAGAGCCTGTGATAAGCTGAGCTGCACCCGGGGCTCACATTGTGCCAAACATAAGCGTGCGAGTGTGTGTGGAGATCACGTCTGGTTGTGTATTAAAATCAGCCTGACAACCATGACGGGCATGCTGGAATAATGCCGTTCAGTTCGGAATCTCACATTTGCCAGCAGCTGCTAATTTTCGGTTCCTCAGACCACTGTCAGAAACATCAAGGAAGTCAGGCTTGGTGGCACAGACCTGTAATCCCAGTACATGGAAGATGTACAAGGGGGTGGTGGTTTGGGGGTCAGCCTGGGCTATATTGTGACACCTTGTCTCAAAAATTAAAAAGAAGATAGAAATATGTGCATACCTTCACACATGAAAGTGGGCCTGTGGGGATGGCCCGAGTGCCCTGGGGCTGCCTCTCACGAGGCTTCGTCGGGCAGATTCCTGCTACTCTGATGAAAATGGCTTTTGGAGATGGACTACTTTTTAAAACAAGTCCCTTGTCTCAGTCCAGTGAGTTGTTGTCCCCACCCCCGCCTTAGGGTGCTCTGCAAATCAGGGGTAGCTAAAATGGAATCCAGGGTGTAGCCTTGGGCTTTTGGACCAGTTTTAAACCCAATATAGCACAGCTGTACAGGGCTATTTTTTAAAGAGAAAACTCAAGATTTATATAAAGGTCATATAAAATTTGAACCAGAGCCCTATTTTGTTTGTGTTGTATCTATTAAAAATTTACATAATTCTAAGATCTAACAGATATCATCCAGGGAATTACTTTCTCTCCCACCTCAGAAAGCTTTGCTAACCCAAAATCATAGAATTTTATGCCTCACCAAAGTGAATTTACCAGCAAACAGTTATAGATTACTTCTTAAAATAGTCAACACTTCCGGTGGCAAGTATGTGCCTGTATGATGGCAAGGCTCCTTTAAACTGTAAGACAAGGACAAAGAACAAATGCAGTGGACCGTACAAATGGTATACAAAGGAGGTTTTTACCTTGTGTTGTCTCATTCTCTGTGAAACAGACCGTTTTGCATGGGATAAAAGGCATGCAAGATGATTCACATATGCAGTGCATACACTTTCTTAGTGGTACCTCACCAGCAAGCAGAAAGGTCTGAAGGGGGTGCGGTTGGAACCAGTTCAAGGTGGCCATCACCCTGCACTGGTCCCGACTGTCCCTGTGCCTCTGGAGACCCAGATGCAGACTCAGTCTTTCCCCAAAGCAGGCCGTAATGTAAGTGTATCCTGTCGGTCTACAGTGTGAACCCCACACATCTGCATCTTATGTCACTGCTAATTTGGCCACCAACAGCACCTGCTTAGGGAAGGCCAAGACCGGAAAAGGCTGGTATGAAGTGGGTCTAGAGTGGAAGTGTGCACCAAGGCTGAGCCCTGTGAGGAAGAAAACATTTTACAGGTACAGTTGGAACACAGAGCTGAGATTCTGGCTGTCCTTGGCACAGGCACCTGCTATATAGGTAAAAACTCTCACCAGCCTCCATCCACCCTTTCCTGCTTTTCTCTTCCTCCAAGTGCCTCATCCACCATCCCCAAACCTGTCTGGGTCTTAATGCCTTTCCCAGTCGAACATCACCAGCCACCTGCTGAGCGTCACCACTACGTCTTTCTGAGTATGTCTTCCCCCATCATGAAGAATATGGCTTTTCCCCAACCCCCTTCCACCCTCTCCACCACCCATCTATATTTCTGCCTTGGACACCTTGGCAGATATATACAGCATCCAGTGTGTTCTGTCTACCCACTGCTGTTCATACCCTCTTCCCAGCTGCCAAGATACCTTGCTCTCCTCTACCTCAGCCCCAAAGAGCCTATAAATTCAGAGCACCCAGCCTTCTCATGGGTTCATTCTCTGTTGTTCAATAATACTACTCCATATTTTAAATAAATCACAAAACGTTTGCCTTCTAACAAAGTAGGAACCTTTATATTTATACATGATAAAGAAATTAATCTATTTCTACCATGCAGAATTTAACATTTAGCAAGAATTCAAAGTGATTGAATTACTAGCCTAACTTGGTCTGTATTAGAGGGTGAATACTGGTAATAGTCCCCGTTGCTTAAATGCAGAGTTAAAATTCTCCAACAGTCCAGAGTAACCTGTAAGTCTTCAATGGGACAGGAACTCCCTGGCAGACAAATTTGGATCATATTAGTCTATTTGCTGTGTAATGTAGATTAAAAAACAAAAAACAAATCCCACAAAACTGAGTACATGAGCATTTCACTCAATTAACTAAGCTTCTAACCCCATTCTTCTTCCCTGGGTGAGAGAAGAAGGAAGCGTGTTGGCTTGAGGCTTGTTCCTGCCGCTGTTCTTTGTGTGAGTCCAGATAGCATCATTAAGGAGCAAAGGTGGTAGTGCTGCTGGCTTCCCCCACAGCCAGGCTCCTAAGAGGAGACACATGTTCACACATAGACGACTGTCCGACCCAAAGGTGAACTACCCTGTTTGGGGTGTAGATCAGATCTCTGATAATCTTCAGGTGTTCCCATCCCAGGCGTGAGCACCCACATGCAATGCCCGATTAATGTGTTTAAGGACCCAAGAGTAAAGGAGGTTCTTAGCTAGGCAATGACCTGGTGACTTCAAATGACATGTCAAGATGTGTTCATTTAGCTTTAACTAAATTAGGACTGCATTGCCATTAGTACAGAACTGGAAGGGTAAGGGAGCGTCTGCTTCTGAATGCATGTGGAAACCGTTGAGGTGATCCAGCCTGTGCCACCCTGCTTTATAGTTCACAGGCCCCCAAACATTAAAAATTGAAATATCATAAATATAATTTTGGTATGTAAAATTTTGTTAAAGCTGTGTATTTCTTACTCCAAGTAACCTCTTAAAATGAATGTATCGTTTCTATGGAAAGAATGTTAGAGAGAGTCTGTGGTCTTTAGTGTTAAAATGTTGCTCATGGGTATCGCTGAGTTAAATGTACACATTATATCCAGAAGAAACCTGAGATCTTTACAAACTTTAACTGGGCTCTCTCTGATAGAAGAACAAAAGGTAGGATGAAGGAAATGTATCAGATGAGTGGCCAAAGATTTGTCTTTTCAAAGCAGAGGCATCTCTTTCCTGAATCTCCCTGTTTTCCCAAAACAGAAGTCAAGTTAAATGGCATCCTGTCCACCAAGGAAAGTGATCCCTATGTCACAGCCAGTGCAGACATTGCTTTTATATTGGACATCTCTGCAGAGAGAGAAATTAGCATTTATTTTCTTCCTCTATCTCCTCACATTTACTCTTTCAACCCAAAACAAGATGGATGGGAAAACAAGTGCCAGGCCACTTGGCATCTCCTTACTCATTGACTAGGGACACAGAGTCTTGGCAAGGAAAACCCGAACCCAGTCGGGCCACCCTGGAAACATGGCCTCGCCACTTGGCTTACCTCCTTCAAACCTGAAAGAAGTGTTCCTCTCGTGGAAGAACTGGATGTAGCTTTTAACTATGAAATAGGAGTTGAACTTGAAAATTCTTCTGAGTCCTGATAGTGCAGGCCAGCTGCATAATGAATGTATACATGAAGACTGTGGCTGAATGCATGAGTCAGATGCCAAGTTCATGACTTTCCACGTAGACATCTTCTCCTTAAGGTGTGAGTGATGTATGTAGCATGCTATGAAGCACCTGTTCTAGTTCATAATTCATCAGTATTAATACAGAGTTACCCTTGCGTCCCTTGGTACTTTATATTCGATGTAATCAGAAGCTGTGATGTTTCACCTTCGTAGTCCTGTGCTTTGTTGCTGTAATTTTCCTTATGAAGCACTTGACTTTGGACTCATGTAAGGTGGATAAACATGATCTTGAAGACTGCTACACACACACATACACACACACATCAGTCTCTTACTCTATATGGTTTTAAGTTAGGATAAGCTCTCCAATTTTTTATTGCTGCAGTTTGCAGTTTAGGGTCTACAAGTTCACTGTCAAGTGGCAGCATCCTCTTTATAATTTCAGCTCTGAAAATAGCAAGCTTTCTCAACGGCCACTTCACCCTTTTTCCTGCAGAGCAGACCCTGCGTGGATGCAGACGATGGTGGTTGCCGATAATGCCCTCCACATGCATAGACAGTTCTGGCGGTGACAGAACCCAGGAGAGCTTCTATGTATAAGTAGGCTTGATGTTTGTTCTTATGTTGCTGACTTGACAGTTCTGACTAGAGCTGACCCAAACGGGCCAGCTTGTGTGTGATACCCTTGTGCTTTAACGCTTCTCTTCTCGTTCTGCTGTTGTTGGTTTTGTTTTTTGAGGGATGGGTAATATTATTTGAACAGATAAAGAAGGAACAGTTAGTGAATCAAGACAAACACATCTGAAATAAAGGAACTGTGTATTAACCTGTTAACAATTCATAACTGCACTTTTTATGACATTTTGAAAATCTATTTATAGGTACAGAACAATGGGTTTTGTTAAACTGTATCACGTTTATACCTGCAGAATTTATTTCATTGTTATTAGTAGGAATTTTATTGGTTCAATAAAATTGGCAAAACTGATCCCGCCTTCTTTCATTACTTACAGTGAAGAATATTCTCGTCTCAATTTGCATCTGCCTGGTGACTGAAGCATGCGCTCTGGGAATTGTGAGGTTGTTGGGAATCACTGTCCTCCCCAGCAGTTTCGAGTCTTGCTTTTTTATTTCTTGATCGGGAGCATAAGTTGTTCCACGTAGAACTACTGTTACCTTTAAAGGGTGGACTCAGAAAGGGCAAGTCAGTGTTACTGCTGTGTCCTATTGCCAGTATCGTTAGAATGGGGAAGCAGTGCTAAACACGGGGCCAGAACTATTTAAAACCTAAGTTATCATATTCTGGTATCTTTGGGGCATCAGGAGTAATCTAATCTCTATGAGTTCTGATTTTCACACACAGCATGAGAGAAGTACCTATCTGAAACGTTTTTGGTGAATCAGGTGGTATGCACTGGTTTCTTTGCATATCCAGCTCAGAAGTGAACTTGAACATATAGTCAGAAAGTCCAGAGAAGGGTTTTTATTAACTGAGGTCAAGTAGGAAGGAGAACGGATGGAAGGAATTGGTGCCTGTAATGCTGAGTGGTGATGAGGATTCTGGCACACAGGAAAATGGGGAGGGCATGGGCAGGCTTTCCAATGACAGTCCTAGGAATCCATCCCAAAGACAAAATGCCTCGTTGCCACATATTCCAATCCTAAGAGGGGATCAACAGACCCAGCTCCTTGCTGGATGGAATCTTCTTTCCAGAGAAAGAAAGGGCAGGCAACTGAGACCAGCCCTTCTGAAACAAGAGTATCCCTGCCTCAAAGTTCATACTCTCAAGGCTTTTATAAGGTTACAAACAACTTTATGTACCCCAGTTCTGCTCATCTCCCATATTTCCCCATATCTGTCTCCCACCCTTGCAGAGTTCCCCCCTAAAATAAAACTAAAAACAAACAAAAAGCCCTCTTCACTTCTGTCTTTCTGCCTCCCTTAGTGACAGCGGGAGCTGCAGTGTGTTACACAGTAGACCCTTTTCTCCAATCAGCCTTACTAAGTCACTGGTTTGTTCAAGTCCTCTAGTCTCTGGTACCCCGTCATCACTGGACCCTCACCAAAACTCTCAGATATCCTTCGGCCGCTCCAAGTCATGGAGATGCTGCCTGTATCCTTCCGCAGGACCAGTCCCTCCACAAGCTCCAGCAGGTCCTAGATGGGGTAGATGTTAGAGTGGGCCAACCCAAAGTCCTGGATGTGAACCAAGGTGGTTCAAGGAACTAGGGTCCCACCTCAGGTGAGAGGTTGAGCCAGCTCTCCCATGAGGGTCAGGGCAATTCTCTTGCTGCATGTCCAAGGGTGGGACCAGCTCAGCACGGCCCTCTGATGTCATCATAAATGGTTTCTAAGGTCCCCTGAGGTAACACGGGCCACAGATATCAACACAGACTCCAGCTGCAGCAGGACCACAGACACAGACATGGCCCTCAGCAACTTGCCCCAGATGCCACCATGGCTCTGGTGGCAGCACAGTCCCTGGACACAAACAAGGACACAGGTTGTGGCCCATACCCCGGGCTTCCATGGGCCCTTTAATGGCAACATGGTCCTCAGACTTCAAAACAGACCCCAGCTACAGTAGGACCATGGGTGCAGACATGGTCCTTCACAACAGCCAGGTCTGAATGTCACCACTGCTCCAGGTGGACTACATGGCTCATGTAGGCCAGTCAAAAAGGCATGGCCCCAGTGGCAGTGTGGCCCTCGAACACAAACGTGGCTCCAGGTGGCATCCCAGACCTCAGGCATCCTCATGGCCTTCAATGGTAACAGAAACCATGGACATGAACAAAGATCCTGGCTGCGATAAGACCACTGGACCTAGACACTTTCTGACATTTTTATACTGAAGTTCACCACCTTAATTCAGCCCAGGCTTCTTGATCAGAGGCATAAATGACTATTGCCATATGCTATTTGTATGACATTTTACTTAGTTGTAAAAGGATAATATATACTCCAAACACATAACTTTCTTCTCTGGCTAACTTGGCATTTTTAATTTAAAAAATTTTCTAGTAATAAATGGCCCATATGATTTAATAGGTGGTCCCTAAGAGGTGAGGTTCATTGATCCATTTTCACCTAGGGATGTGGACTGCAAGACTCAGGAAAGTCTTAAAGTTCTGCAATTTGCTGGTGGGGGCTTTTCTTCTATATATTAAAGTTTTAAATCAAGCTATAACTTCTAATGTAAGGTTCTCTTTCTGTAGGGAGAAAGCCCATGTCAGAACATGTCTCTTTTCCCAGAATTTCTCACATTTGGCGTGGCTCAAAGTATGGAGATTCCATAAAACACCACTTATATTGATATCTTGGAATCTGAGATGACTTTAAGACACTTGGGCAAAGATATCAAGTAGACTAGTCAAGGCTTTGTGTATGGGGCTTAGGGAAACAGTAAGAGATGCAGGGTGGTTGAGGAGCTTCTGACAGTTATGGGCCAGGACAAGTGGAAAGAACCAAGGAATGGAAGCAGTGATGCAGGGAAAAGGGCTGCTCACCATACCTGTCCTCGTGACTGCTTGGTGCTAAGAGGCAACGCTATGGTTGACCCAAACAAGTGGGACTGTTTGGTTCGAAAACCCCTTGAGGCATTTTCCTGTGCTAACTGCTTAGGTGTTACAGCATGAGGCTGAGAAAAGGATGGGCTCTGTCTTGCTCTCCTGATGGAGGAAGGTCATTGGTTAAAAAAAAAAATAAACTGCTTGGCTGGCCCTTATAGGTTAAAACATAGGTGGGAGGAGTAAACAGAACAGAATGCTGGGAGGAAGAGGAAGTGAGCTCAGAGGCCATGCTCCCCTCTCTGGGGCAGACCCTATGAACCAAGCCGCCAGGTCAGACATGCTGAATCTTTCCCGGTAAGACCGGTGCTACACAGTTTATTAGAGATGGGTTGATCGGGATATCAGAATTAGCCAGTAAGGGCCAGAGCTAGTGGGCCAAGCAGTGTTTAAATGAATACAGTTTGTATGTTGATATTTCTGGTGTAAAGCTAGCCATGCGGGAGCCAGGTGGGATGAAAAGCAGGCCCGCAGATCATACAACACTCTCCCCCTCCACACACTCACACCTTGTGCAGACTTAGTGGGCTGGTAGCAGAGGTGAGGCACAATAGACGGGGCAGCAGCAGTGGACTTGAGAGCTCATGAAAGAGGCAGACTCAGCTGCTGGGACTCCCAACTAGCCTGGCTTACATCCATTAGTAACACAGCTTGACAGCCGACCCTCCTGCAGTGGGTGGCCATCCTGCTCTGCACCCTGCCTGTCCACTGGTGACCCTGTCTGCTTGCCCGAATCCCACCTCATGGCCAACAGTCCCACTGGTGCTAACACTGGAGCCCAGGTCCTGAGCAGTCAGCTGGCTGTTCCAGCTCATAGGGGGCAGCAGATGCCCAGCTCTCAAGCACGGTCCTGGGCAGGCCAGAACCTCAGCTAATCCAGGTAGCAGATACAGAGGCCCAGGCAGCCTTGATGACAGCAATTCCAGAGCAGCCAGAATGGGAAAAGAAGAGCAGTGGAGGCACTGAGAGAACAGAGCACTGAAAACAGACTGAGGAGCAAGAGAGCAGACCATGCAGGCTCTGCCCACCAGGAAGAGCAGGGCACTGTAACGCTGGCCACTGCCAGGAGCCCAAGGCTCTGATACTGAGGCCCACAAAGAGGCCACGTTGTTTGTGGGACTAAAGGTCCTAATATCGAAGCAGACACAGGAACTGTCACCTGCCAATGCCCTCCCCGCTGGCTGCCACCACTCACTGCTATCAGACCAGCATTGAACAACCATCTTCCTCACTGTGAATTTCACCCAGGTAGAGCAGAACTCTCAGCCTGCTGATTGCTAGCAGCTGGATACTTCCCCACACCTGGAGCCTACACAAAATGGTCCATGATTTGGCCCCTAAGGGAACAAAGCCCTTGGTTAAAGCAAAATTACCCAGTCAGTATGGGGTCTCTCTCAGCCATGCCAAGCCAACACCAAATCAAAGATAACAGTGGTTGCCATGGTGATTTCTATGCTCAGAACACTAGGCACTCAGAAGGTAACACTTAGTGGGGCCCAGCCTAACAGGTTTGTTGTCTGAAACACATCCCAGGCTAAATCTTAATGTTGATTCAGCAAAGGTGCCTGTCACCTGCATTCTAGATTTCTTTTATTCCTGAGAAGGATAGCCTGATGATGACTCAACCCAGTCTAAACTGGGTCCGTGGGAGGCAGGGCTGAGGGAACAGGCAAGGCACAGACCCCACCTCCAGCTCCTGCTCTACCAGCTGGCTCAGTGTACCTTGGCAAATTAGGTTTGTTTTTTAATTCCTTAAAATGCTTTGTCTTCCTTCTTCACCTTTATAGGGGCGATGAAAAGGAGGGCCCTTCCCAGCCTACACGGACCCAGCGCAGGCTCCCACTCCTCCACCCTGCACCCCTCCACCTTGCACCCCTCCATCCTGCACCCCTCCACCCTGCACCCCTCCACCCTGCACTCCTCCACCCTGCACCCTTCCACCCTGCACCCCTCCACCCTGCACCCCTCCACCCTGCACTCCTCCACCCTGCACGTTTGCATCCTTGCCTGCAGCTGCCGTCTCTCTGACCACATGCCCCGTACCCGGGCTTCCCCTGAACCTCCCAAGTATATTGAACTCCCACTCCTCTTTCAGGGTGCAAAGCAAATGTCACCTCCTCTTTGAAGCCCCTGCACCCCACCTTATCAAGGAGCTGCTCCTTTCTCAATCCTACACCCTTCCTCCACCTCCTACAGATGCGTGATAAACACTACCAGGCTCCAGGGCCCCGCCAAAGCATTAGAACAGGCTTGGAAGGGAGCGCAGTCTTAGAATACAGGACAGAAGATACAGGGAAACAGAGACCAGCTCAATGGCACACAAGCTAGGCCCCTGAGCCACTGCACTGTGCTGCTGCTACCTTCAGTGCCCCTGACACTCATGCCCATCTCCTCCATTGGGTGAGACGTCCAGGGACT